TGGTTGGTGCAAGAATTAAGAATCATTTCAAATCACAAAACAAATCAAACAATCAAACAAAAAACTCAGGGAAATTAAGGAAAACAATGAATCCCTACCAGGAGCACAGACATACTTTTCCACAGCTTCATGCCTTCATTCCAAAGAAATATCTTGTGCCCATCCCTGACCCAAGCATGCTGTCTTTTATCTCAGTATTCCCAGGGGTTGCAGAGGTTCTTTAACAACAGTGAACAACTTGGCAAACTGCTAAATCTCATGTAATTGTTGTAATACTTAGGAAAGCCATCCAGGGGTGAGTGTTTCTCTCCCTAATGTGGTCTACTTATCATGTAAGTGCAGTTTTTCTGTGATAGTTGGCATTATATAAGTTATAACTATTGTCCAGGAGATTCATTTTCCAAGTCAAAATAACTACCACATACAAAAATTAAATTTCCTAAAAGGTAATATTAAATATGCTGGATTTAAATTTGAAAATAAAGGAGAATCTTCTATGGAGTCTCTAAAATTGACATCCCTAAAAGTACAATCCCTATCATCAGCTTGATAAAAGCTATTTAAAGATGAGCACTGCATTGCTGTCAAGAAGGTGACTGGTAAAAGTCAATCACAAAAAGCTGCCTCCTAAATGATAAAATTGTGTCAAGATGCTTCTTATCTAATCAGAGATGAACAGGCTGCCAGAGAAAATAATCCAGTCACCTATTAGGCAGTGGTGGAGTATGAGAAAGATTCCAGTATTTTCTGAATGAAGGAGGAAGCCAATAAAAATGCTCAGTTGTTAAAATCAATATTTTAATTCAATTTCTAAAATAAGAAGACTTTAATAATATACACAAATGAATTTTTCAGCTCAATAATTTTCTCATAGCTCCACATTCATGTCATACATGCTAGGAAGTTGTTTGTTGCTAGGTTACACTTTGGTGCTAAGCTACTGGTAATTTCATTTGTAAGAACAGCAAAGAGTAAGCTATTAATAAGAAAACCTATGAAATATATATAGGTAGATAGATTAAATATAAAAATACATAAAGTACATAATGAAAAATAACGTTTTTAAAAATGCATATAGGATTTATGGCTTAGCTTTCTAAAACAAGTGATTTAAAAACAATGTAAAAATGAAGTTACATCCCTTCATTTTTTTTCTCTTACATGTTACTCTTTAGCATGAAATACTGCTTTACCCAATGACTGACAAGTGGGTTATTCATTTTTATTACAAAACAAGATGCTAGGTATGAGACATTCCATTTTACAGTTTATTTTTAATGCAATAGCAGTGTCTTGATTTTGACAGCCAAGAGTGAAATTTCCTATGATACTACAAAACACATATAGAAAATTTACAAATTTTCAGCAGAAAAAACAATGGAATCTTGAAATTTGCAGGAAAATGGATGGATCTAGAAGAAACCATTCTGAGCGAGGTAACCCAATTGCAAAAAGACAAATCTGGTTATGTACTCACTCATATGCGGATTTTAGACATAGAGTAAGGATTACCAGCCTACAATCCACACTGCCAAAGAAGCTAAAAACAAGGAGGTCCCTAAGAAAGACATACATGGTCCCCTGGAGAAGGGGAAAGGTTCAAGATCTGCTGAGCAAATTGGGAGCACGTGAATTGGGGGAGGGATCTAGGAGAATGAGAAGGGGAGAAGAAGAGGGTTGCCAAGGACATGAGGGAGCAGAAAGTATGAGTCAGGGGAAGAATACACGATAACAAGAATGGAGATATCATAATAGAGGGAAACATTTTTGGTTTACAGAGAAATCAGACACTAGGGAAATGTCTGAGATCTACAAAGATGACGCCAGCTAACTATCTCAGCAATAGAGGAGAGGCTAACTTAAATGCCCTCCCCTGATTATGAGATGGATGACTGACTTATATGCCTTCATTCAGCAGCTAATGGAAGTAGAAGCAGACACCCATAACTAATCACCAAACTGAACTGGAACCCAGATGCAGAGAAGGACCAGCGAAGAGCACAAAGGTCCAGACTAGGCTGGTGAAACCCACAGAAACAGCTGACCTGAACATCCAGGAACTCTTGCTCCCCAGACTGGAATACCAACTGGAATACCAGCTGGAATACCAGCTGGAATACCAGCATGGGACTGATCCAGACCCCAGGAACATGGGTTTCTGTGAGGAAACCTCAGAAATCTATGGGACCTCCTGTAGAAGCCCAGTATTTATCCCTAGCATAGGTGTGGGCTTTGGGAGCCCATTCCATTTAGAGAAATACTCCCTGGGCCAAGACACATGGGGTTGGACCTAGGCCCTATCCCAAAGGATATGAAAGACTCTGATGACACCCTATGGAAGGCCTCACCATCCAGGGGGAGCGGAAAAGATATGTGACAGATAAGGTTTTAGTTGGGGGGTAGGGGAGGATGGGTGGGAGAAGGGAACTGGGATTGTCATGTAAAACAATCTTGTTTCTAATTCAAATAAATAAAGTTGGAAGAAAAGGGGCAAATAATCCAGAAAAAATGTCCCAAGAAAAGGAGTAAATTGGTCTATTGTTACATCATATTTGCAACAGGATAAAATCTCATAAACCTTTCCAAATATTTTTTATTTTATCTACAGACATAATGCAAATGATTCTTTTGTAGTCCCAGTCCAAATAAATATCAATTCTGGCTTTAAAAAAATAAATAAAACTCTATCCATACCTGTATTGTCTTCCTCTATCAAGGCATCTCCTTTCTTGCCCTCCTCTTTTTCTCTCCTCTCTCAAGCCTCTTGTTCTTCTGCCCCATCCCCTTGGTCCCTTCCCACCTCCAGGGGATCCCCAGGGATGACTCCAACTAAGAATCCAAGCAGTGGTGGAGAAAATGTCATTGTTGCCCTTCCCATATATGAGATTGGTGTCTACCTTGGTTAACATTCCTAGCGCTTTCATCCAGAATCCAGAAGCTGTTTGAAGCAGAAACCGGCACCCACAGCTAAGCACTGAACTATACCTCTGGAATCCAATTGTGGAGAGGGAGGAGGGATGAGCAAAGAAGCCAAGATGGTACTGCAGAAACACTTGGCCTGACCTAGTGAGAGTTTAGAGACACTAGTCATAAAGCTTCGGAAACAGCATTGGACGGAACCAAGCCCTCTGAATGTGGGTATCAGCTAGGAGGTCAAGATAGCCTATAGGACCTCTAACAGTGGAGCCAGTCTTTAACCCTAGAGCTCGAATGGACTTTGGGAGCCCATTTCCTATGGAGGGATAATACTGCAACCCAAATACAGCAAGGAGGGCCTAAGCCCTCCCTCAAACTATATGACAGACTTTGAAGGTCCCTTGTGGAGGGCCTCACTATCCCTAGGGAGGAGTTTGGGGATGGGTGGGGAAACACATGGGGGAAGACCTAGGCCCTGCCCAGGATGATATGAGAGACTTTGGGGAACCCCCCATGGAGGGCCTTACTCTCCCTGGGGAGCAGAGGGGGGATGAGGTAGGAAGGCTGGCAGGGGGGATGGGGGAGGAAAGGGAGAAGGGATTGACATGTGAAGCAAGCTTGTTTCTAGTTTGAACTAATAAAAAATCAGAAAATTTCTAAGGAGTAATGTTTAAAGTAATATTTAAAGATATACCTTACCTCATATTCTTATTAATGGTACCCAAGGTTAATAATATAGTGTCTACTCTTATACCTTGTGCACTAATCATGTATATTCACTTATGTATGCTTATATACATATGTTTGCTTATACAAATGCAAATATGTATATACATTTCATTTAATAGACTAGAATACTGGTATCCATCCTCATATTCTGCTACTAGAAATATGTATCTCTCTGAAACTTTGATCTAAACTCCTGACTCTCCTAGATCACTAACAAAAGCAATTTCATCTCCTGAGATATATTTTCTGCCTTGGAATCTCTTCAGTGCACATTCAGTGTCCAAATGCACATTGTGGGTACTTAGGGAATATGCTCTTCAAATATGCATTTGAGGACATCATGATTCTTAAGTCAAAGTATATAAAGCTAACAGTAAAATCTGTGCTCAGTAAGTCATATTATTTAAGCACTTTGTTATTAAAATTGTGACTGTTCTAATGGAGGTTATCCGTAAAATAGGACAACACTGAAACATAGGAGTTTAAATGGCCTTTGAAAGCAAAGGTCACAATAAAAGAAT